ATCAATGTCTGGGTGACTGTCCCAAGAGGTACTTTACAAACGTCGAGCAGAATGAGTGTACGCCGTGTCACAGTGATTGTGCAGAATGTGACGGACCTGATGAAGACGACTGTACTTCCTGTGGCGATTATGGATATGTACATCACAACAGAAAGTGTCTGTATCACTGTCCACCAGAAACGTATCTGGACGGAGCAGAGTGTCGAGGTACGGTACATATTCTCCTTCGTTTTGACAGGATAATTGACAAGACAGTGTTGGACAAGGTGATGATGCATGCGATTTCCAACACTGTCCTACACTTTTTTAGATATTTTTGTATAAATTGTATTTGCATTTATTTGATCAGAAAACAGTAATATTGTGAAATATTATTACAATTTAAAATGACTGCTTGCTGTTTGAATATATTCGAATATGTAATTTATTTCTGTGATGCAAAGCTGAATTTTCAACATCACTACTCCAGGCTTCAGTGTCACATGATCCTTCAGAAATCATTCTAATATGCTGATTTGCTGCTCAAAAAAGCATTTCTGATTATTATCAGCGTAGAAAATGGCTGTGTTGCTTCATATTTTTGTGGAAATCTTGATACACTGTCATTCAAAACTTAAAAACAATGCATCAGCAAGGATGCATTAAATTGATCAAAAGAGACAGTAAATACATGTATAATGCTACAAGAAGATACTGGATATTTAATCAAGTAAATGCAGCCTTGCATATTAATAACAATCACCCGATCATGCTATCATTATAGTAATACCATACCTGTTTTTTGACACCAAATATGTCTGTTTTTAGAGTGTGACAAGTCCTGCCAGACGTCCTCCTGCCTCACCTGCAGAGACAACATGAAGACGGATGTAAACGTGCACTGCGAGTTCTTCAGTGGCTGCTCTCTGCGCACATTCACCGATAAGGACGGCCAGTGCAAGCCCTGTCACAAGAGCTGTCTCCAGTGCTCGGGCACAGGCAAAGAGCAGTGCCTCAGCTGCAACCCCAAATGCTTCCTGCTCAGTAAGAGCACACCACATTTCATTTCCATATGAAACTGATATATGTTTCTCAACTGAGCATTAATAACATTTATTATAAAGCAATCTCGCACAAGAGAAGTTCTTCAATTTGTTAAATAATTGCGAAACAACTGCATAACTGCAGAAAACGAATGGAAATGTAATGCATTAGCCATACATGCATGATGTAATGTCTTGTACACATTATTTTGGTCGTTTATCAGATCAGACATGTGTCCACGTGTCCTGGTGGTTACTATGTAGACGAGGGCAAGCAGGAGTGTGTTCAGTGCCACGTGAAATGTGCGATATGCCGTGGACATCTCAGTAATGACTGTATAACCTGTAAACCAGGGCTGCTTCTGCTCGGACACAGCTGCTTCACCACCTGTCCGCTAAGGTATCATATAACTTATTTACTGTATTTAGTGTTTATTTTTATATACTTATTTATTTACTTACTTTTATTGTTTTATTTTATTATAATGTAGTTTTTATTATCTTTATAAATGTAGTTACAGTTAAAATGAAATCAAATGCAGTGCAACAGGACTGTGTGTCAATTAAGTATTTAATTTTTATAAATTAAACTAAACCAGAAAATCATGTACTGTCATAATGATAAGGATTCATGTCTTTTTACTCTTTCACCTCTAGGGTGCAGCACATATCTTTTTTGTATATTGTGCATCTATGCAATGACATTCTATGGAAGCCCGTTTCCGCCACTGAATAAAAAAAAATATAAAGGGTAATTGCGACTTTTTATCTCACAATTCTGACTTTTTTTTTCTCACAATCACCTGATACAAACGCGCAATTCAGATTTTTTTCTCACAATCGCCTGATACAAACTCGCGATTCTGACTTTTTTTCTCAGAACTGTAAGATGTAAACGTGCAATTGTGAGAAATGAAGTCAAAATTGCGAGATATAAACTGGCAATTCTGACTTTTTTTCTCCGAATGGTGTGGTATAAACTCGCAATTGTGAGTTAAGTCAGAATTGTGAGAAATAAACACAATTCTGAGAACATATCAGCCTTTTTTTTCTCCTCGGAACTGGACTGGCAGTTGCAAGTTTAAATCTTACAATTCTGAGAAAAAGTCAGAGAAATACGTGCAATTGCGAGAGAAAAAAAGTCAGAATTGCGAGTTTGTATCAGGCAATTTTGAGGAAAAAAAAGTCAGAATTGCGAGTTTGTATCAGGCAATTTTGAGGGGGAAAAAAGGCAGAATTGCGAGTTTGTATCAGGCAATTTTGAGGAAAAAAAAGTCAGAATTGTGAGTTTGTATCTCGCAATTTTGATGAAAAAAATCTGAATTGCGAGATGTAAATAAAAAGTTGCAATTACCTTTTTTTATTTTTTATTCAGTGGCGGAAACAGGCTTCCATAACATTCTGACATTTTTAAATGTGATTTAAGTAGCCAAATGCTATATTACTACTGTTAATACTAATGGCACTCTTTTGTACTTTATTGTCTTTGTACTAAAATTTGTGAAGCATTTCACCCTCAAAAAGGCCCAAAAGTTTATATACTTTGGGTTCCTCTGGGTTTATGATCTTGGGTAATAACACAGAAGCGACCGTGTGGTTGAGGAGCTGCTGTCGGTACAGTCCTGCACTCCTGTCATTGTGCGCTTTAGTAAGGCATGTAATCTGTGTTTGCTGTGGGGAACTGCGTCTCTAATTAGTATGCTATATGTCACTTTGGATGAAAAGCTCCAGCTCAATGCCAAGTTACTGACATTCCTTCCAATTATGAGATGAAGTACTTTAAAAGGTCAATGGGTTAGTCCAGAAAGTATTTTTGCAATTGGATAGTTTGACCTGAAATTTACCCTGCCATCTTTATTTCTGCTTCTTAATCTTCTTTTGCATGACGCTTTTATATTTCAGATTTATTCAAAAGTATATATTCAGCAAGCATGTATTCAACTGGTCAGAAGTGACATCTATAATGTTACAAAAAATTTATATTGCATCTAAATGAAATATTAGGGAATCCTGAAAAAAAAAGTTATCACAGTTTCTACAAAAAATATTAAGCAGCTCAACTGTTGTATATAATAAGAAATGTTTCTTGAGCAGCAAATTACTTTATTAGAATGATTTCTGAAGGATCATGTGACACTGAAGACTGAAGTAATGATGCTGAAAATTCAGCTTTGCATTACATATATAAACAGGGATTAAAGTGTTCAGTCGCTATGAGGGATTTCTGTCAGTTCATAAAGACAGTCACTTGCTTCAGCCATTCGAACGAATCAATTGAATGAATGATTCAGTGATTAAATCAGTGACTTGCCGCCACCTGCTGGTGGATTTAGTTTCATTTTTAGCGTATAATTTCAGTTATTTAAATAATTTAATATTTTTGTATTTAAAATTTTATTTTTAAAACATTAATCTCCACATGAATTTATGAATTGAATTGCACTCATGCACCTCTGAGCCTCATTAAATGTCTGAAAATGTACCTACAAGCCACTTTTGTGTTCTTCTGTGCCACCTCTGTAGTATAAATTAATTTATTAATACTAATTTCATATCATTGGTAACTTATTTGTCTTATTCTACTTTTTATTATATTGTTTTAAATAGAAATTTTAAAAAGCTTGTAAACATAAATGTTTGAATTTGACATGGATGAAAATGATGCCATTATAAAGGTAAAAAGAAAATACCCCTGTAAGTCACTTTAAGGAGTCAAATGTCACCTCGTATTAGGAAGGCTAATTTTTGATCAGATTTTTTGATTATTGATCAGAAGGTGCTCCTAAAATTTTTTATTAGGAGGACAAGCGCTCCTGACTGAAATGATACGCTAAAAATTAAACCAAATCCGCCAGCAGGTGGCGGCAAGTCACTGATTTTATCACTGAATCATTCATTCAATTGATTCGTTCGAAATTATTGATCAGAAGGTGCTCCTAAATTTTTTAATTAGGAGGACAAGCGCTCCTGACTGAAATGATACGCTAAAAATTAAACCAAATCCGCCAGCAGGTGGCGGCAAGTCACTGATTTTATCACTGAATCATTCATTCAATTGATTCGTTCGAACAGCTGAATCATTCAGGTATGAACTGACGGAAATCCGTCGTAGCGATGGAAGGGAACACTTTAATCCCTGCATAAATTACATTTTAAATATATAAATATATATATATATAAATAGAAAAAAAAGTTTTTAATTGTTTTTAATAAAAAAACATTAAAATTTTACCAATAAATAACAAAATGACAAGTGTATAAGCGTTAAAGGGTTCTTTCTCCCACAATTACTCATCCCCATGAGATATAATAAAACCTGGCACAGCTGAAACAAACTGGCATGGGTTTATAACAACAGAAAGGTGAATAAATAATGACAACATTTTCACTTTCAATTTCTAATCTATTTTGTTCACTATAGGCTAGAGAACGGTTAAAAGGCCACATGAGGTCTCTGAATGGGGGTTTCCCGGAGTCATAAGACTAACATTAATATTATCACTATGACTGCTCACCAGAGATAACTGAAACAAATAATTTACTGTTTCAGTTTGTTGGAGTATTTTTCAGACTCTGTCTACATGTATTTTGGAGCAGGATGTTCAATAATTGCCAGTAAGATTTTTCTACTCCACTTTTTTATAACTGATGCTGCTTGAGCAGGTTAAATTGGTAGAATATGCATTTTTCTCATTTTCACAACAGTCAGAAGCTAACCGCTTTCATTTGAAACTGTAGAGTAATACGAGAACCATGAAAATAGCACAATGTTGCCATGGGCAAAGGTCAAATATATAGTTTAGCAGTAATTATACAGAAACATTTTCCACAATTGACCGATCAGAATCAGGTGTTTCAGAGTGTCGTGTAATAATAATGCTAACAGACTTGCTTTTGATGCAACTGAATCGTGATTATTCAAAAATGATGCTTTCCAAAATGACAGCATTGTAACACATGTCTGTATTTCCCCTGCAGTTACTTTGTGGACGCCTCCAGCGGAGCATGTCAAGAGTGTGACCACACGTGTGAGGAATGCTCAGGAAGCAGCCGTTTCTGTCTCAGTTGTAGAGATGGATACTTCCTGTTGAGAAAGTCCGGACAGTGTCTGCGTACATGCCCATCAAACTACTTCCCTCACACCTTAGACAGAGATTGCCAAAGATGCCACCCCACCTGTAAAACATGCAAGGGTCAGACTCACCACATGCCTGCAACTGTCAAATACATAGGGCTGCTCAGTAAACACTTAAAAAACTAAAATTTTATTTTTGATCTATTTACTGGGATGCAATGCAAACCCTAATTTGGGAAACCCTGACTTACATGATAACTAAAAATGAAAGATAAACTGAAAAAGCCTATCTGCATCTTACAGGTTCATAAATCTGTGTGTGTGTATATATATAGATATATATATAGAAAGAGAGAGAGAGAGAGAGAGAACAGTTAACTAGTTAATGGCTAGTCTTGAGGTTTTTCAAAAATATTGGTTGCATATGCGAGTGATTTTTATTTTTTTCTCTCGTTGTAGAGGGTTGCTGGGTTCGACACAAGCTCAATCAACAGGCATAATGTTTATTAACATAATATTGTTAATTATGATTGGTCGCTCCTTTTCTTTAAATTTTTTTTATCTGGGTTACAGTGGAAGTGAATGCAGCCAGTCTGTAAATGTTTAAATACTCAGTGTTTCAATAATACAGTAGTTAGTTCCTAACCTTTTCTGTGTGCAGTTTAATATTCAATTTTTAAACTTTGCTGCCATGACAATATAGCAGCTATAAAATAATAAGCTTCATCTTTCTGCATGTAACGCTTTCAAAAATTGTCCCTGTTCACTTCCATTGAAAGTTCTTTTTAAACAAAACAAGAGAAGAGAAGTCAAAAGTATTTTTATAGTAATAAACATTATGCTGTTGATTTACCTAAACGTGTAGTGAATCCGCAGTATTCCTTTAAGCCACACTTATGCATATCTGAAGTGATTGATTTATTGATATATGAAGTTTATCACAATATGAACATTTAACGTTTGACAACAAAAGTGTCTAAATACTAATGCAGTGACATTTTTTAAACTTTTAAGTGTTTAAAAATAAGACTAGATCATCTTTTATCATGTTGTCTTTCATCCTGCATTTTAAATCCATTTTAGACCGTTTTTAGTACAATCCGAGTGCAGATGATATGATTTGTGTAGCTCAGCATGATTGAACTAGTCATGTGATCGGCAGGCTCTGGTGCGATCTCCTGTACATCATGTTATGACCGTTTCAAAATGTTTGGTGGAATCTGCTCATCTACGAGGCTAATTGGGGAATATCCCATCCGTGTGGTAAATGTCTCTTTAATACAGTTTTATCAAATCTGTAATGTGCTAATCTAACTATATTGTAGTGTTTTTTATTTATTTAATTTTCTCTCTTATACCTTCATTGTTTGTGTTTGTCTTATTTCATCCCTTCCTGACATTTCTTAGCCATTCAAACATACATTAAATGTGTGAACACCTCCCTTCATAGATTACTCTAGACAAATTCCTTATTTTAGATATTTTGGTTCTTTCTGACATTTTTTTTTTTTTGCACAGAATAACACATGTGCCCCATGTGACCCGTCCTGAAATGAATGTAAAGGTCCGGGACCCTACAGCTGCACCTCGTGCCCTGTTCTACTGCACCTCACAGAGGATGGGAGGTGTCTTCCTCGCTGTGGAGAAAACACACGCACGCATTCCTCAAAATTTGCCTCGGAATGCTGCCAGTGCCACACACTGAATGGTACAAGCTTTAAATGCATTCATTCTACACTGGGGGGAAAAACATTTACTGTGAAACCATTTTCATTTAGAAATTGCTAGTAATTTCACAAATAATCACAAAGAGGTGACAAGTAACACAAAAAAGTCAAGAAAGACTAGTATTCTTTTGAAATGTACTCATTTATCATGTACTTAATGTCATTTATAAAGACAATTTGAGTCTTTAAAACGGCAAAAAAAATAGAAATATTATATAAATGATATATTTCAGTGTTATTTGCATATTGTTAATGTACTATTATAGTATTTATTCATATTATAAATGAGCTTTTATTGTTTTTATTTTCGTTTTAGTAGTCTATTTGGTGTTGTTATTTGTATGCTCAGTAAACACTTAAAAAACTAAAATTTTATTTTTGATCTATTTACTGGGATGCAATGCAAACCCTAATTTGGGAAACCCTGACTTACATGATAACTAAAAATGAAAGATAAACTGAAAAAGCCTATCTGCATCTTACAGGTTCATAAATCTGTGTGTGTGTGTATATATATAGATATATATATAGAAAGAGAGAGAGAGAGAGAGAGAGAGAGAACAGTTAACTAGTTAATGGCTAGTCTTGAGGTTTTTCAAAAATATTGGTTGCATATGCGAGTGATTTTTATTTTTTTCTCTCGTTGTAGAGGGTTGCTGGGTTCGACACAAGCTCAATCAACAGGCATAATGTTTATTAACATAATATTGTTAATTATGATTGGTCGCTCCTTTTCTTTAAATTTTTTTTATCTGGGTTACAGTGGAAGTGAATGCAGCCAGTCTGTAAATGTTTAAATACTCAGTGTTTCAATAATACAGTAGTTAGTTACTAACCTTTTCTGTGTGCAGTTTAATATTCAATTTTTAAACTTTGCTGCCATGACAATATAGCAGCTATAAAATAATAAGCTTCATCTTTCTGCATGTAACGCTTTCAAAAATTGTCCCTGTTCACTTCCATTGAAAGTTCTTTTTAAACAAAACAAGAGAAGAGAAGTCAAAAGTATTTTTATAGTAATAAACATTATGCTGTTGATTTACCTAAACGTGTAGTGAATCCGCAGTATTCCTTTAAGCCACACTTATGCATATCTGAAGTGATTGATTTATTGATATATGAAGTTTATCACAATATGAACATTTAACGTTTGACAACAAAAGTGTCTAAATACTAATGCAGTGACATTTTTTAAACTTTTAAGTGTTTAAAAATAAGACTAGATCATCTTTTATCATGTTGTCTTTCATCCTGCATTTTAAATCCATTTTAGACCGTTTTTAGTACAATCCGAGTGCAGATGATATGATTTGTGTAGCTCAGCATGATTGAACTAGTCATGTGATCGGCAGGCTCTGGTGCGATCTCCTGTACATCATGTTATGACCGTTTCAAAATGTTTGGTGGAATCTGCTCATCTACGAGGCTAATTGGGGAATATCCCATCCGTGTGGTAAATGTCTCTTTAATACAGTTTTATCAAATCTGTAATGTGCTAATCTAACTATATTGTAGTGTTTTTTATTTATTTAATTTTCTCTCTTATACCTTCATTGTTTGTGTTTGTCTTATTTCATCCCTTCCTGACATTTCTTAGCCATTCAAACATACATTAAATGTGTGAACACCTCCCTTCATAGATTACTCTAGACAAATTCCTTATTTTAGATATTTTGGTTCTTTCTGACATTTTTTTTTTTTGCACAGAATAACACATGTGCCCCATGTGACCCGTCCTGAAATGAATGTAAAGGTCCGGGACCCTACAGCTGCACCTCGTGCCCTGTTCTACTGCACCTCACAGAGGATGGGAGGTGTCTTCCTCGCTGTGGAGAAAACACACGCACGCATTCCTCAAAATTTGCCTCGGAATGCTGCCAGTGCCACACACTGAATGGTACAAGCTTTAAATGCATTCATTCTACACTGGGGGGAAAAACATTTACTGTGAAACCATTTTCATTTAGAAATTGCTAGTAATTTCACAAATAATCACAAAGAGGTGACAAGTAACACAAAAAAGTCAAGAAAGACTAGTATTCTTTTGAAATGTACTCATTTATCATGTACTTAATGTCATTTATAAAGACAATTTGAGTCTTTAAAACGGCAAAAAAAATAGAAATATTATATAAATGATATATTTCAGTGTTATTTGCATATTGTTAATGTACTATTATAGTATTTATTCATATTATAAATGAGCTTTTATTGTTTTTATTTTCGTTTTAGTAGTCTATTTGGTGTTGTTATTTGTAGTTATTTTAAATGGTTTTAAATAGTTAATATTTCTATTTAGCTTCAGTTTTAGAGTTTTTACTTATTTTATTTCAGTTAGTTACCAAGGTTAAATTTCAATGTTTTTGTCTAATATTGATATTTTATTTCAGCCTCATTTCAATTAACATTTTTAACAGTTTTAGTTTTAGTAAAAAATAACAACACCGATATATTTAAACTGCTTTACAGATACATTTATTTATATCAATTATTTGTATTAATATTTATATATTAATACAAGCTCACACTTCTGCTCAACACCCTGCCAAATTCAAATATTGCATGCCTTTTTGTTTGATTTAAAAAAAAAAAACTGAGAATGAAATTCAAATGTATTTTCTGTCGTAATGACAGCAAGCCATCAATGCCTGAACCAACCATGTAAGATTCACCTAATACTGTATCATTAGATAACACTGACTCAAAGTGGGAAATGTTACTAAATTATGGTTTGTACATTTTTTAAATTTGATTTTTTTTTGGAGCTTTCAGTGTGAAGCCATTGACCTTTAACCTCTCTTTTCTCAGATGAATGCATTGTCGCACAGAGCTACAACGTCTTCAACAACGATCTAGTGACTTCGGTTTATCCTGGCCTTTTTGTTTTCACTGTCATATTTGTGCAGGTGAGCTTGTGGCTTGCCATTTTTCTCTTCCTGCATTTTCGGTAGAAGATCACCTTAAAGCTCACTGTCAAACCGAACGGCTACACCAAAATCGCAGACGACCCCTTCACCTCTGCAAACCTCTAAGCAAGCCAAGAGGATGAGGATGAGGAGGATGAGGAGGATGAGGAGGAGGAGGAGGAGGAGGAGGACATGGTGTACATGGGTAGGGACGGGATAGTGTATCGGAAGTTTAAATACAGCCTGTTGGAGGGAGATGAGGAAGGGGAGGAGGTGGAGCTGGAATATGATATGTATACTCTCACATAAAACACAAAAAAAACTGTTTATTTTCTTTGATATATGCATATCAATACTTCATTTATTATCATTCTGACATGCAGAAACCCACTAATCTTCACCAATCAACCATTAAAGAAATAGTTCTCCCAAATATCACAATTCTGTCATCTATATAATGCGTTTTGATGAAATAACCTCATCTACATCTTTGATGGTCTGAGGGTGAGTACATACATACTCAGCAAATTGTCATTTTTGGGTGAACTATTCCTTTAAGACCTGTAAATGATTTAAACAGTGTATTGACAGTCCTTTTCAAATGTTAGCTGATTAAACAGTCTAAGGATGATGAATAGGACATTATAGCTTCTTGTTGTGGGTTTATCTCCTTTAAAGATCCCATGGCATGAAAATGTCACTTTATGAGGTTTTTTAACATTAATATGAGTTCCCTTAGCCTGCCTATGGTCCCCCAGTGGCTAGAAATGGCGATAGGTGTAAACCGAGCCCTGGGTATCCTGCTTCGCCTTTGAGAAAATTAAAGCTCAGATGGCCCAATCTGGAATCTTCCCTTTATGTCGTCATACGGGGAAAGGTTACCTCCCCTTTCTCTGCTTTGCCCACCCAGAGAATTTGACCTGCCCATGAGAAAATGAGCTACTACCGTGCGAGGCGAGTGCATTATTTTTTTTTCCCTCGAGAGACATCATGGCTTGCTAACGAGCGAAGCATGGCAGTTGCCCCCGCCTCTCTCCTCCTCATGAGCATTTAAAGCTACAGACACAGAAATGGCACGTCCTAAGGAAAGCTCATTGTGGGACTGGCTCGTAGTGGCTGAAATTCTGCACCAAGGCTGAATATCGGGAAAGAGACTTCAGATACAGTACTAGGGACCACTTAGGCCTATATAAAAGCATCTAAAAAGCAGCATGTCATGGGACCTTTAAGTTTGATTACTTGATTAAAGCTGCAGTCCGTAAGTTTTGCCTCTTTGTCGCCATCTCTGTTTGAAAACCTGGAATTGCAGCTGTGTGCGGAATTATCTAGCTTGCGTGGGTTGTGAGTCGACGCGGCTCCAGCACCTAATGTTCTGAAGAGTGTGTGTGGCTGTCAGTCACTGCACCGGTGTGGATATTTACTGTACTTTGCAATCACAGATTCTAGCCTACGTCTTGGAATATGACCCAAATAAGAATATTCACAGTATATCGCCATCTGAACAAGTAACAAGTCTGCCACGTTTGTTCTGACCAACTGAGGAAAAAATCATTACCATAAATCTTGCTACCAATGGTGATTAAATCTAAAGATCGGTTAGCTCTGTTTATCGGTTTATCACATCAAACTGCACATCACTTAGCTTGTAGATTTCAATTTCTGCAGTCTAATCTAATTGTCATACTCTTCGAATTTCATATTAAGAAAATCTTTTAACCCAAAAAGATAATTATGCTCCCTTCAAACTGGTTTTCTTTACAATACAAATCTTTGTAATCCCAGGCTATCTGTAATCAGAAGCACATTTATAACTGGAATATAATTT